TTTGGATCCCTTTTATTTTTTCTTCCTGTCTGATTTCTGTGGCTAAAACTTCCAGTACTATGTTAAATAAGAGTGGCAAAAGTGGGCATCCCTATCTTGTTCCTGTTTTTAAGAGAAATGCTTTTTTTCCTACCCATTGAGTATGATGCTGGCTGTAGGTCTTTTATATGTGGCCTTTATTATGTCAAGATATGATCCCTCTATTCCCACATTGCTGAACGTTTTTATCAGAAATGGATGCTGGATTTTGCCAGATGCTTTTCCAGCATCTATTGATATGATCATGTGGTTTTTATTCTTCATTTTACTTATGTGGTGTATCACATTTATTGATTTGCAAATATTGTACCAGCTTTGCATCCCTGAGATGCATCCCACTTGGTCATGGTGAATAATTTTTTGCTGCATTGCTGGATCCGATTTGCTAGTATTTTGTTCCAGATTTTGGCATCTGTGTTCATCAGGGATATTGGCATGTAGTTTTCTTTCTTTGTAGTGTCTTTTTCTGGTTTTGGAATTAGAATTATGCTGGCTTCATAAAATGAGTATGGAAGTCTTCTTTCTTCTTGAATTTTTTGACATAGTTTGAGGAGAATGGGTGTTAGTTCTTTTTTGAATGTTCGGTAAAACTCCCTCATGAAGCCATTCGGGCCTGGGCTTCTGTTTGCTGGGAGAATCTTGATTACCTCCTCAATTTCCTTAGTAGTTATTGGTCTGTTCAAGTTTTTTATCTCTTCCTGATCAAGTTTTGGTAGACTATGTGTTTCTAGAAATTTGTCCATTTCACTTAGATTGTCAAATTTGTTGCCATATAATTGTTCATGGTAGTTGTTAATGATCTTTTGTATTTCTGTGGTGTCAGTTGTTAGTTTTTCCCTTTCATTTCTTATTTTGTGTATTTGGGTTCTCTCTCTTTGTTTCTTCGTGAGTCCAGCTTAGGGTCCATCATCTTATTTAATTTTTCGAAAAACCAGCTCTTTGTTTCATTGATCTTGTAAATTGTTTGTTTGTTTGTTTGTTTTGGTCTCTATGTCATTTACTTCTGCTCTGATGTTTACTATTTCCTTCCATCTAATTGCTCTGGGGTTTTCTTTTTGTTTGCTTTCTATTTCTTTAAGTTGTAAGGTTAGATATTCTGTTAGAAATTTTTCTTGTTTCATGAGGTAGGTCTGTAGTGCTATAAACTTCCCTCTCAGAACTGCTTTCACAGCATCTCAAAGATTTTGTGTTGTTTTGTGTTCATTTTCATTGGTTTCCAGGAAGCTTTTAATTTCTTTTTTGATCTCCTTGGTAACCCATTCATTGTTTAATAATAAGCTATTTGGCCTCCATGTGTTCAAATATCTTTGCATGTTTTTGTTGCAATTGGATTGCTAGTTTCATGCCATTGTAATCTGAGAAGATGCTTGATATGATTTCATTCTCCTTGAGCTTGTAGAGATTTAGTTTGTGTCCTATTATGTGGTCTATCTTTGAGAATGTCCTATGTACACTTGAGAAGAATGTGAATTCTGTAGTTTTGGGGTGAAATTCTCTGTAGATATCTATTAAATCCTTTTGGCCTAGTGCTTTATTTAGAGTCTCTGTTTCATTGATAATTTTGTGTCTAGAGGATCTATCCTGTGATGGCAGTGGGGTGTTGAAGTCCCCTTCTATGATTGTATTGCTATCAATTTCTCCTTTGAAGTCTTCCAGAAGATTTTTCATATATTTTGTTGCTCCTATATTGGGTGCATATATGTTTATCAAGGGGATATCTTCCTGATGGACAGATCCTTTCAATATTATGTAGTGGCCTTCTTTATCTTTACTTATGGCCTTCATTTTGAAATCTATTTTATCAGATATGAGTATTGCTACCCCAGTGTTTTTTTGCTTTCCTTATCCTTGGAAGATTTTTTTCCATCCCTTCACTTTCAACCTATGTGAGTCTTTTGTTGTGAGTTGGGTCTCTTGTAAACAACATATAGTTGAGTCATGCTTTTTTATCCCAGCAGCTACTCTGTGTTTTTTTATTGGAGCATTCAGTCCATTTACATTTAAGGTGATTATTGACATGTATTTATTTATTGCCATTTTTTTTAAATGTGGTTATATTTTAATTCCTATTTCTCCTGCTAATTACAGCAGTCCTTTTAACATTTCTTGTAGTGCTGGTTTGGTCCTAATGTATTCCCTTAGCCCTTTTTTGTGTCTGGAAAGCTCTTTATTTGACCTTCTATTTTGAATGATAGCCTTGCCCGGTGGAGTAGTCTTGGATTCAGATTCTTGTTTTTCATGCCCTTGATTACTTCATGCCATTCCCTTCTGGCCTGTAGTGTTTCTTGTGAGAAGTCAGCTGAGAGCTTTATGGGGCTTCCTTTGTAGGTAACCTGTTTCTCATCTCTTGCTGCTTTTAGGATTTTCTCTTTGTCTTTAATTTGTGGCATTTTAATTACTCTGTGTCTTGGTGTGGGCCTGTTTGGGTTCTTCTTACTTGGGGTTCTCTGTGCTTCTTGAACTTGAATGCCTTCTTCCTTCACCAAATTAGGGAAGTTTTCTGTCACTATTTCTTCAAATATATTCTCTAACCCTTGCTCATTTTCTTCTTCTTTAGGGACTCCTATGATGTGAATGTTATGATGTTTCCAGTTGTTTCACAGTTCTCTTAAGCTGTCTTCCTGTTTTTGAATTGTTTTTTTTTGTTGTTGTTGTTTTCTGATTGGTTGATTTTTTTTACCTTGTCTTCTAATTCAATTTTCCGGTCCTCAGCTTTCTCTTGTGTGCTATTTAGACCTTCCAATGTGTTCTTTATTTCTGATATGTCATTCTTGATTTCTTCTTGGTGGTTTTAAGTTTCCAATTGGGGTATTTTCAATATTTCTATGTCTTTACTCATGATGTTGATGTCGTTACTCATGCTGTTGAGCTTCCTTAAGATCATGGCTCTGAATTCTAGCTCTGTTAACTTGCTTAACTGCTCCACATTTATCTCATCTTTGGTAGAGGTCTCTTGTTCTGTCATTTGGCTTTTGTTTCTTTGTTTCACCATTTTGGCTATCAGAATGGGCTTTGGAGCCTCCCAAATTTTTCATGTGGTTGTTGGTGTTCTGCTGTTTGTGGCTCCCTCTCCTGGGTTTGTATGAGTGAGGGAGGACCCACATTAAACACCACTGTAAAGTCTTACTTTCCTGGGTAGAGTTGCTAGCCCAGGAATGGTTCAGTTATCCTCTATATTTTTGCCCGGAGGCTATCAGTAGTGGTCACTTGAAGAGCTTTGGGTTCTCAGTTGAATCAGACACAGTTTTTTTAATTTATATAAAGTAAGTTCTTTGCAGAGCTAACAATTTTTATTTCATTATTAAGAAAACACTGCTTGAGAGCCTTGAGATTTCATTTATGACAAAGAGAATCACAACCAAGGGGAAAACATCATTATAATCTTTCTTTAGAGCACTAATTACATTTTGACATTCCCCCAACTCCACTCAAGAAGCATTGATCGTTGTAGGAAAATATGCAACAGAAAGACAACTGAGTCAATCTTTGTGTAATCTGCCCTGGACAGTTTGGCTCAGTGGTTGGAGTGTCGGTGTGTGGACCAGAGTAGTCCTCGGTTTGGTTCCTCCTAGGGGCATGTACCAAACAAACAAACAAACAAACAAACAAACCCTTGTGTAATCTCATCCTTCAAAAGTTCCAGCTATTGACATTCTTCCATATCTCAGCTGTTCTTGCACCTTCTGTCATTAAGTGGTTTTGAATGATAATCTACCTGCGACTGCCTTCTCTAGACCCAATTTAACAGCTACCTTTGAATCAAATGACCTCTCTCTCTCTTCCTGTCTCTCTATCTCTCTCTCTTTCACACACACACACACACAGACAGACAGACAGACAGACATTGAAATTGTTTTAATGGTGGTTCTCCAATTCTAGCATTCCTTCTACAGTTATCCTTCTACAGTTATTACATGACACGTTTCTGTAAAGACTTTGCCCTGAACCTCTTTTTCCTCTCTTTTTTTTGGTATCACTGTGAAGTCATGGTCACCCCCCACTCCAGTATATTTTAGTCCATTAACATCATTATTCCTCTTGATGTTCAAACCATCCTAATTTGGCCAGTAGGAGCTCATTTAAACACAATCTTGTATCCTGACATAACCTCATTAGTCTTTGAATAATCTGTTTTCTGCCATAAAAAGTCCCAAACTCACGTTGCATTTTCCCTTCCTGAGACCTGAGATCAAATATTTCCCCAAGAAGCCTTGATTCCTTTTAATGGGAATGGCATTTAGAAACAAAGATTCAGGTGCTACATGTGCTCATGGCTACTTGGGTATTTGTCATTGCTTCTTGGCCCTTTCTGTGTACAGAACTAGGGAATATGAATTCATACTACAATACAAGTTTAAAATACAAATATAAAAGAAGGAAAATAAAAATATATCTCTTTTATCTTTTGGTGAAATCTTGGTTTCCATTATCACTAATATACGTATGCATTTGCTTTATCCTAAAATATACATAAAATAGTACTAATATATTATATGTATATGTTATAATTCTGAAACCAACAGTAAACCTACTAAGAAAGTTTAAGATTTCTTTGCAGTTCTTTTTGTCCTTAAGATTATATCCTAATAAGAATACACTATCTGGAACACTGTGTTCAAAACTTATCTGAACTGCATGTTATAAATTCGTTGTACAGGTTTGTTTGATTTCAGTTAGTATCCATTTTTAACATTGATTTTTCTTCCCATTATTTTTGGCTTAATTCTAATGTTGGAGTATTCAAATCTTTATATAGCCTAAATATCAAAAGTATTAAAAGGTGTACTCAGAGAAGTTCTGCTTCTATCCCTATCTTCTCCACCACATTTCTATACATTCCCTATTTCCATTAGTTTTCAGTTTATCATTCTGTGTTTCATTTTATAAAAACAAGCAATTATAGTTCTTAAGAACTAATTTAGACATACCATGAGTTAGGCAATACCCCTATAAGTGAACTGTTATTTGAGTGTGCTTATGGTGCACAAAACCTGATTTGTATCACATTTTCTATTTTCAATACAGATAGCTCGGTTTACAAATAAACTCCCACCTGAATTCTGGCTAATTCACTGTAGAGAGTCCATATGAGCATTCAAAATTCTGCAGATCTGCTGGAGATAAAAACAAACACAAGATTTTCATATTATAATTTCTGATATGGTGAATAAAAATAAACAAAATTTTGAAATTAGAAAGTGATTTCATTTCTTCTGTTAAGAAATGGACTGCAAGGAAAAGACGCTGCATGCTGACCTGAAAGACACCCCTGGAACCAGTGCAGAGAGTGATTAATTTAAGAAGAATTCTTCCAAAAGAAGAGGAAAATGGCGGTGGAGTGAATGGAAGCTACATAGACCATCTCCCAGGACCAAACTGGAATTACAACGAAAATAAAGACAAATTGTCAGGAAAAGGCAACTGAAAAGCAGCTCGGAGGACCACATAACGAGGGACACTGACTCAATCCTGGTAGGCTTGCAAAGACGTGAAAGGGGGCCAGGAGCCCACGGTCTGCAGCGGCCTGGGCTGGGACCTGCAGCGGCCTTGGCTGGGACCTGAGGCCCTGGCTAGGAACTGCGGCGGTCTCAGCTGGGACCTGCGGCCCTGGATGGGACCTGCGGCCTCGGCTGCAACCTGCGACCTTGGCTGCAACCTGTGACCTTGGCTGAGACCTGCGACCTCAGCTGGGAACTGTGCCCTTGGCTAGGTTCTACGCCCTCTGCTGGGAGCAGCCGCAGCCTTGGCGGGAGCGAAGGCCTTAGCTGGGAGCGGTGCCCTCGGGTTAAAGTCTAAAGAGGCTCCACAGCACAGAGCCAGGACAGAGGCTAAATTAGCAGCAGCCACTCACCTTAGGCTCCAGCAGAGGGAGGGCAGACTGGACTGGAACTGTGTAGGAACACTTAGGAATTGGAGGGCGCTCAGAGCTTTTGCTGAGTTGCAGTCATGCAAAACTGTGGTCATCTTACTCCTTCCCAGGACACTGGGGAGAGGCGGCTGCCCCTTCCTCAGAGATTCAACCCCACCTGGTGGCCATTGAAATGCTAATTGTGGCCCATTAACAACCAGCATCTGCCCCGCCCTCAGGAAATCCTCTTACACTGAGCACCTGAGGGAGTTTTTCATTCAACTCAGAAACCAAGGTTCTAGGCAAAAAAGCTACAGGATAACTATGATTCCCTGGGTTAGCAACTCTAACCAGGAAAGTAGAACTTTACAGTGGTGTTTAAAGTGGGTCCTCCCTGCCTCATCCAAACCCAGGAGAGGAAGCCACAAACAGCAGAACACCAACACCCACAGGGAAAATTTGGCAGGCTCCAAAGCCCACTCTGATAGCTAAAATTGTGAAACACAGAAACAAAAGCCAAATGAAAGAACAAGAGACCTCTACCGAAGATGAGATAAATGAGGTGCAGTTAAGCAAGTTAACAAAACTAGAATTCAGAGTCATGATCTTGAGGAAGCTCAACAGCATGTGTAAGGACATGAGCGCCATGAGTAAAGACATAGAAATGTTGAAAATCAACCAGTTGGAAATTAAAAAGCACCGAGAAGAAATGAAGAATGACATATCAGAAAGAAAAACACATCAGAAAGTCTAAATAGCAGAGTAGAGGAAGCTGAGGAAAAGATCAGTGAGTTAAAAGATCAGTGAGTTAGAAGTAGAAAAAATCAACCAATCAGAAAACCAAAAGAAAAAAATAATTAAAAAAACAAACAGGAAAACAGCTTAAGAGAACTGTGGGACAACTGGAAACGTAATAACATTCACATCATAGGAGTCCCTGAAGAAGAAGAAAATGAGCAAGGGTTAGAGAATATATTTGAAGAAATAGTGACAGAAAACTTCCCTAACTTGGTGAAGGAAGAAGGCATTCAAGTTCAAGAAGCACAGAGAGCCCCAAGTAAGAAGAACCCAAACAGGCCCACACCAAGACACATAGTAATCAAAGTGCCAAAAATTAAAGACAAAGAGAGAATCCTAAAAGCAGCAAGAGAAAAGCAACAGGTTACCTACAAAGGAAACCCCATAAGGCTTTCAGCTGACTTCTCAACAGAAACACTACAGGCCAGAAGGGAATGGCATGACGTAATCAAGGTCATGAAAAACAAGGATCTGAACCCAAGACTACTCTACCCAGCAAGGCTATCATTCAAAACAGAAGGTCAAATAAAGAGATTCCCAGACAATAAACAAGGCTAAGAGAATACATTAGCATCCCTAATCATCAGAGAGATGCAAATTAAAACAACAATGAGGTATCACCTCACACCTGTCAGAATGGCCGCCATCAACAAATCATCAAATATCAAGTGTTGGCGAGGGTGTGGAGAAAAGGAGACTCTAGTACATTCCTGGTGGGAATGCAGACTGGTGAAGCCACTATGGAAAACAATATGGTGTTACCTCAAAAAATTAAAAATTGAACTGCCATTTGACCCTGTGATCCCACTTCTAGTAATATACCCTAAGAAGCCTGAAACACTAATTGGAAAGAATATATGTACCCCCATGTTTGTAGCAGCACTATTTACAATAGCTAAGATCTGGAAATAGCCCGAATGTCCATCAGTAGACAAATGGATCAATAAGCTGTGGTACATATACACAATGGAGTAGTATGCAGCTGTAGGAAAGAAAGATCTCTTATCATTTGAGATGACATGGAGGGACCTAGAAAGTATTATCCTAAGTGAAACACGCCAAACAGAGAAAGAAAAGTATCCTATGATCTCATTTATTTGTGGAATATAATGAACATAACAGTCTGAGGAATGGGGTAGTCCCAGAGACATGGAAGTGGGGTACGGACTGACAATCCCCAGAAGTGGGGGTGGTGGGGGAGAGATAAACCACAGAACTTATATGCATGTATGTATGAACAATGGACATGGACAACAAAGCTGGGAACAGGGCAGGGAGGGAGGGAGAGGGGGGAAATCAGTGGGGGAAAAAGGAGAAACGTCTGTAACCAAAATAAATAAATTAATTAATAAAAAAAAGAAAGAAATGGACTGCAAGGTATTAAATTTTAACAGCTTCTTTTACTATTTAATATTTGTAATGTTCCTTGCATCTTTATATCGGTCCAATCTAATTACTTTACAAATGTCAAGAATCCAATTCCTTCAATTCAATGACAAACTGACTACTATAGTACAAACATAAGTAAAGAACATGAAGAGACATTTTACAAGACAAGAAATTAATTAAATTTTTTTAAATATTACCTTTATTCACCCACATCAGCATTTTTAGTGAGGTATAACTGACATATAACATTATATGAGTTTCAGGTGGAAAACATAATTTGATATCTGTATATATTGTGAAATGATCACCATAATAAGTCTAGTTAACATCCATCATCATACAGTTACAAAGAAAATTTTGTGTGTGATAAGAACTCAAGTTCTGCAACCTTAGCAATTTTCAAATATGCAATACAGTATTATTAGTATAGTTACTGTGCTGTATATTACATCCCCATGACTTAATTATATTATAACTGGAAGTCTGTACCTTTTGTATACCCCTTCACCCATTTTGCCCATTGCTACCAATGACAACCAGAAATCTGTTCTTTGTATTTATTAGCTTGGTTTGTTTTTGTTTTATTTTATTTTTTTCTTTATTCACTTTTAGAGAGACAGGAAGGGAAAGGGAGAGAGAGAGAAATATCGACGAGAGAGAACATCAACTGGCCGCCTCCCACATGCCCCCTACTGGGGACTGGGCCTACAACCTCAGCATGTGCCCTGACAGGAAATTGAACCAGCTACCTCTTGGTGCATGGGTCGATGCTCAACCACTGAGCCACACCAGCCGGGTTATTTTTGTTTTAAAATTCTATATGTAAGTGAGATCATCAGTGTCTGTTTTTCTCTGTCAGACTTATTTCACTTAGCATAATGCCCTCAGGTTCCATCCATGTTGTCACAATGGCATGCTTTCTTAATCTGCAATTTTAAATAAATGTTCATAATCAGTTGTCAAGTGTGTAGGGAAAATAAGTACACTCATATTCAGCCAACAGAAATATAAATTGACCCAACCCTTCAAAATATAACATTTTATAATATATATCAAAAGTCTTTAAATATGCATACTTTTTAACTCAGTATATTCTACTTTCAGGAACCCATCCAGAGGAAATAATCAAATCTAAACATAACTAATCATTACTGGGCAATTTTATAATGGCAAAAAATTGCAAACAATGTCTTCATAAATAAAGAAATGATTAAATATATTATGGTAAAGTTACCTCTGATAAAACATTATGGAGTCATTAAAACCATGTTTTCTAAAACAGAAACAGACTCATAAATACAGTGAACAAACTGAGCGTTTCGGATGGGAGGAGTGTGGGGTGGATGATTAAAAAAGGTGAAGAGGATAAGAAGTTATAAAATAGTCACTGGAATATAAAGTACAGCTTAAATAATATAGTCAATAATATTGTAATAACTATGTATGATGCCAGGTGGGTACTAGAATTATCAGGGTGATCACTGCATAAATTATATAATTGACCACTATACTACATACCTGAAACAAATATAAAATAAAATAATGTTTTCTAAGAATGTTTATAATTTTAGGAAAACACCATGAAATAATATTAAATATAGACAGAATACACAACTTTATATAAGTATGTTTCCAATGCTGTTAAAAACAAAAGTGTTTTTTATCAACATAGTAAAAAGACTTGAAAGAAATTTAAAAAATGTATTAGCAGACTACTACTGGTAATATAGGTAACCTAATTTTCTTTACAGATGTCCATATTTTTTTTTTTTTTTATCCTCACCCGAGGATATTTTTCCATTTTTTGTACAGATAGAGTGGGAGGGAGAGAGAGAGAGGAAGAGAGAGAGAGTGAGAGAAACATCGACGCGAAGAGACACATCGAGTGGCTGCCACCCGCACGACCAACCAGGGCCGGGGACAAACTGCAACCGAAGTACGTGCCCTTAGCGGGAACCGAACCCGGGTCTCTCCAGACCGCAGGCCGACGCTCTAACCACTGAGCCAAACCGGCCAGGGCCAGATGTCCATATTTTTTAAGCTTAATACATTGAACATGTATGTTTATTAACTTTGTAATAAAAATACTAAACATATAAAAATGTTTAGAACACTTTGGATGAATTTTCTAGCAAAGTCCAGGATAATATTGAAAATAGGAGGAAATGAAAATGTTTCCATGCTTTAATGACCAGTATATGTAACAACAATAGCAAATTTAGTGTATTCTAGTATAACAAACAGAAATATAATTTGTAGTAGGTACAATGAGTTTTGTAAGAAAATGTGACTGAGTATCATACACCATAATATGGACTTGCTTAATAAAATTTTTAGCTATTAGGTGGTCTCTCCATCCTCCCCTTAAGAAAGGTCCAAATAAAGAGGTAAATCTCATCACTGTGAATACTATTAAACATAGTGGCTATTTTTCTACCCTGGTATATGGCCTACAGTAATGAAGCTTTGTTGATCTGGTTCAAATAAATTATCTACAAAACATTATTGTTCAGTAAATGTGTTCTCTGCTTACTGTCTAACAATTTATGCTATTTGAGAAAAGAGATGAATTGTTGCTGATCTCTCACTTCTTTTGTTCTGCTACTAAGCAGCAATTATCCTTTAATTCTTTCATCATAAACATCTCAATCTCCCTGGCCAGGAAAGACAAAAACAAAAGACTCAAACCATTTACTCATCACTACTAAAATAAAATAAAACAATCTAAGGCTAAGAAGAGAAAAAGGATAAGGATAGGATTGCAGTCTCCTTTTACTTACTCTATTTGAACACATATTAATTCAACAGAGACTAGATATTAGCTCTGCTTCATGTCTAAATCTGCATATACTTATCTGTGCATTAAAATTCTATTACAGCAAAACAATTTTGGAATCACAATGGTGATCTAATATTTCATTTAAAAGAAAATCTATATTATGTCACCTCTTGATCATCTGCATGGACACAGGGAGATGGTAGCACGGATAATACCAGATTAATTTGTATTTGCCTTTGTTCAACTTTAGATTCACCTAAAGTAGAGAATTGCATAACATTTATAGCTGGAGGGGACTTTAAATTTATGTTGTCCGCCCTTGACATTTTGCAAAAGGACCTAAGATCCAGAAGATTAAGTGACTTAAATTCTTGTGCTATTTCAATACACCATGCTGTCTCTTTATAATTAAAAAGGTTAGTAATATGGATGTAGATAAAGAGTTGTCTGTATATAATTGGACAAAGAGCTTACTAAAGAATAATTACTACATATGTATATATGTCATTCATCCTCACCTACCCAAGTCCTGGCTCCACTGTTAATTATAATCAAGTGATAGAAAGTACTATGGGAGCTCCCACAAGGAGTGATCCCTTTTACCATTAATGACATGGAGTGGGATTGAGGGATAAGAAGGACTCCATCTAGCTGCTAAGACAACAGGGAAAAGTAGAGGAAATAAGCTCTCTGTGTATAGTATAAATAAAGAAAAAAATACTTTTTTATTGCTAAATTAATTAAAAACTTCTAAACTCTCTAATTGGAGCCTTGACTGTGTTTTCCCATGTTATAATTCATTTACATTATGAGTTTAGTAGGGACCAGTGGAAACCTAATGACCATATTTAACAAAGTTTCTATGGAAAAAATATATTCTAAGACTCAAATAGTTGAATTATCAAACTTTTAAGATATAACCTAATCATAAATTAAGGATTACTTGGATATATTTAACAGATTCAAACATCTGTATGCACATTTATATGAATGTGTAGATAAATATATAAAAGACAGAGTGAACTAGCTAATGAGTAAATGAACAAAAAAATAAGTACAGGGACAAATTTAGTTATGTGAAGAACAGGGAGAAAACCCTGAAAAATTAGGAAGGAAATTAAATTTTTTACTATCCTGGGATAATCACAAATAACTCTCAACCTTATCTGCCTTTAAATATTTCCTGCCCCATTGACTACACCCAAGAGCTTCATATCTCTAGAAGTAGATAAGGAGAACTAGAGAGGACAGGAGAAGATGACAAAAGAACCATAGAATACTAATTTCATACTAAATCTCGGTTGTCTAAATAGATAAAGAGGTTAACACACAGGGTCAGTAGTGTCAGTAGGTATTTCAAATATATTTAGGAGCTCAATAATGTTCTTGAGATCCTGGGCCATCTGTTTCAGCTGAGCATCTATATTTCTCCTAATTTGTAACTGAAAAGGCAAGTAAAATAAAGGGATTAACAAGCAAAAAGTGTTTTAGCCAAATATGTATTATTACTAACATACAACAATGATACTGCCAACTGGATTTGCCACAATTCCCCTGCCTTCTCATTATGACTAATGGCACATTTTTATGGATGCAGTAATCATGACTTTATTATTACCATTTTCTAAAAAGACTCCATAGGTGAAGGCTTTTACCCACTTTGACATTTTTATAGTCACATATTTACCCTCTTGCTAATGTTCTGAGCAAAGAAGCTCTAAAACAAAGGAACTCTTTTTGGTATCAAAATAAACCCATAGGACATATTAAGAGTTACTCAGTGTTTAGCAGCATTCAGTAAGTGCAGAGATGTCTTCAATGACTTTGAGTACATAAATTTTCAATGTAAAACCTTATATAAATATACTCCATCATCCAACAAAAGATGCTTTGAGAAATAACATATTCATAATAATCAAAGGCAGATAAGTTTTCTAAGTTCACAACAAATTAATTAGTTGGCTAAATTCTCAAGATTTCCACCCAAACTATTTACACACACACACACACACACACACACACACTTAGTTCACAGATATATTTTTGAGACTTAAAGTGACCAGAGGGTTTTTCAACCTCAATTTCTATAAAGATATAAAAAAATTAAATTTATTGATAACTATCTACTGTCTTTCTGTTCCAAAGTACTTGTAGGTTATTGGTTGCCTAGATTGTTGAAGATTTTAGTACAGATTTCATCATATCACAAATCTGACTACATAAAAGCAATAAGAAAAAAACTAATTGTTCAATTGTTTCTTCAAACTATAGTTAGGATCTCTTGACCAAAAATACAGCTCTGTTTGTTTCAAAGAAAAAATCACAGAATGTGTAGAATGACACGCAAACAAAAGATTCATAAAAGCTTAAATACAAAAGCAGAAACACAATAAAGGTCCATACCGATTAGCTGTACTTACTATGTTTAATGCACCTATGAAAATGTTAATTTGCAAATGTCTTTCTTTTAAATGTTTTTTATTTATTGATTTTAGAGAGAGAGGAAGGGAGAGGGAAAGAGAGATAGAAACATCAAAGAGAGAGAACATCGATTGGCAGCCTCCTGCCTGTCCCTCACTGGGGATCCGGCCCACAACTTGGGCATGTGTCCTGACCAGAAATCGAACCGGTGACCTCTTGGTGCATGGATCAATGCTCAACCACTGAGCCACACCGGCCAGACTAACTTGCATATCTCTTAAAAATAAGCTCAGTCTTACCTCACTAGTAAGCCATTGATAAAATGAGTCTGATTTAACTTCAATCTAGTTTACATAGAACATTCATACAAGTTCTTTCAATAACACTTTATAATGTAGCCTGATTAGGAAATCTCAATTCCAGGGCGATAAAGTTACTGTGGGAACACTGGTAATATATCGATCAAAGGTAAAGACTGAATTGCACACAAATAAAATATATTCAGCTCAAGACATTGACAAAACCATTTATTTTTTAAACATGTTTTTATTGATTTTTTTTAGAGTGAGAGGAAGGAAAAGAGAGATAGAAACATTGATGTGAGAGAAAAACATCAATCAACTGTCTCCTGCACACCCTCTACTGGGGAATGAGCCCAAACCTGGGCATGTGCCCTGACCAGAATCAAACTGGGATCTCTCAGTCCATGGGACAATGCTCAATCCACCAAGCCACACCAGCTGCGCTGAACATTACTTTTAAGAGTCAATACAGATAACCAGAGAGGAAGGGGGTAGGATGAAGTAGAAGAGGATATAGGGGGGGTAAACAATGATGGAAGAAGACTTGACTTGGGGCAATAAACACACAATACATTATACAGATGATGCATTATAGAATTGTACACCTTTAAACCTATATAATTTTTTTAAACCAATGTCATCCCAATAAGTTCAACAAAAGAGCCAATATACATAGAAGACCATAAATATCCTTCTATACTATGACAACACAGACATAAAATTTGTATTTATAATTTAAGAACAAAGTTGACAATTATAAAAACTTTACAGTGATCATGTATAAGCTTGATTCATTTTTATTTATAAAATATGTTTATTAAATCTGGGGACAGTGAAACAGGGAAGGGTTAGGATAAAGAAACAACAGGAGAGAGACTAGGCGAGGCTCCTTTGGCTCACAGGAAAGACAGAGAAGAGGAGTCAGGTTCAGGGGTTGGCCTGGGATGATCCATTGCTGCCCATTGCTCCCCTGGTTGCAAGTCTTGTGAGGTCATTTAGAGTTTAGGAGATGCATGCATGCCTCTGGGGGAAGAAGAGAGGGAAAGGAAAGGCATGGGCATGCTACTGAAAGGGAGAGTGAGCCAAACTTGAAATTAGTGAGTCTATAAAATGCTATAAAACAAAATTGCTGGAATAATTACTTTATTCTCAAGCATTCTGAAAAGATAAACAGAAAAATAGTCAAATAAGCTGATAAATGTCAACTACAAGAACTTCTTTTCTACCAATTTTTATTCTTGGCCTTTCAATTCCATGTTATCTCTTTTTTAGTAGTTAAATCCTGTCCCATTCCTTGATCTTTACCCACTCACTTACATCCTCTCACACTCCTTATCTGCGTACTTTGGATAAACAAAACTACTCTCATCCTTCAAAGATTCCTCTAAAGGCATCAAGAGATCTAGTTCCCTCTGCTGTGACAAGACAAAATCCAATTCATTTTCCAGCCTGGAAAAAAAAAGTCAACAGTAAGAGCTAGTAAAAGAAATTTGGAGTGACAAAGCAAGTTGCAATCAACTACAATTAGGAAAAAACAACAACACATAGATCTTTAATCTTCAAACCTAGGAGTATAAAGTTCTATCATTTCTGATCCAATTTCACTTTTTTTTTTTTCATTTTTTCATGTAAAATAGTAATCTATAAAGGAAAATAGGAATATAATAATGTAAGTATTTAAATTTATATTATAATTTTAAAGCAATATTAATTTTCTCACATACACTTAAAATACAAAAGTGTTCCTAATTCAGGGCATTTATTACCTAAGAAAAATATTTTTAAGTTGATTATCAATACTGGAATGAAAAATGAACTACTAAATACAGGTCTGTTCTCTTGTGTTAATCTGAAAATACTTGTACAATGCAGTTGGATTAATAAGAGTATCTTCTAACCTTCTCACAATTCTCAATGAAAGTACAGACCCAAGCATTGACCTGGGTGGCATGGTGAAGAAAGTGCTTCTCTTAATCCTCTAGTTCAAGGTTCCATTTATTTATCAGATCAACCAGCTGACAATATGTCATCATGAGAGTTATGATCAAACTAAAAAAAGATAAAGCAGTATGATCATACTTTTAAAAGTATAATCAGATGACACTAAGGGTCAGACCAGCTTCAGAGCACCATGAAGGTTGGCTGGTTCCTCTGCTACAACCATACTGGAGTCCAAAATCTCTTACTATCTGATCCTGCTTGTTTCATGCCACACAAGTGCTGATCCTGAGACTACTACCCAGTCTCTCTGCTAGGGAACTCAACCGAAGACTATTCTGAACAATAAAATTCATCACACAGATATGTAGCCATAGATGGAGAAGTAAAAGATGACAAAAAACTATTATGACCAGCTGACATACTGACTTTAAAAATGGCAGTGGAGTGAATGGAAGTTACACAGACCATCTCCCAGGACCAAACTGGAATTACAAATAAAATAAAGACAAATCATCAGGAAAAACCAAGAGAAAAGTAGCTCGACAGAACCTGTGTAACTAGGGATGGAAAAAGGACAAAAAATTGAGCCTGGAAAGAACTGCAGATATGCGAGAGGGCAGCCTGGGAGCCCAAAGACAGCAGCTGAGAGCTGTTTTAGCTGTGAGCAGTACCCTCTGAGAAGTCTAGGGTAAAAACTCCAAGCTGGCTTTACAGTGCAGAGTGGCAGGACAAGCTGTGAGCATTTTCCTCTGAGTAGTTGGGGTTAAAACCCCAAGCCAGCTCCACAGAGCAGAGTGGTGGGACAGGGAAAGGCACCACATAACACCTGGCTGAGATCAGCAGTACTGAGGCTTTGTCCAACAAGAAAAGGCACAAGGGAATAGAGCAGCAGAGCACTAAATGAGCTAAAGCCACTCACCTTGGGGTCCGACACAGGAAGGGCAGACTGGATTGGAACTGTGTGAGGAGAGTTAGGGGTTCAGAGAGGTGGGAAGGAGGTGGGAATCACTCTCTCATAGGATGGTGGACATCTTACTCAAAGAGCCCCTTCCCCAAGCCCCAGAGAGAAGCAACAGCCCTTCCATGAGGAATTTAACACCACCAAGCCACACCAGAGAAATTCAAATTGAGGCTCATTAACAGCTAGAGACTGCCAGCAAGCAATTGCACTACCCACTGGATAGCCTCTCACCCTGTACACCTGAGGGAGTTCTCATTCAGCTGAGGGCTACAACCCAAGGCTCATCAAGTAACTGAGACTAATAACCTACAGGCAAAAAATACTGGATAGCTGAACCTTTGCATGGCCTGCAAATCTACCCAGGAAAGTAAGACTTCACAGTGGTGTTTAACATGTGTCCTCCAACACTCATCCAAACACAGTCAAGGGTGCCACAATCAGCAGAAAAACAACACCCATAGGAAAAATTTGGCAAGCTCCAAATCCCACTCAGAGATCCAAAATGGTGAAACAAAGAAATAAATCCCAAATAAAAGAACAAGGGAATTCTATTAAAAAAAGAGAGAGAGAGAGAGAGAGAGAGAGAGAGAGAGAGAAATAAAATGCAGTTAAGCAAGTTATTAGAGGTAGAGTTCAGAGTAATGATTATGAGGAAGCTCAAAAGTATGAGTAAAGAGCTCAACAGCATGAGTAAAAATATAGAAACACTGAAAATCCACCAACTGGAAATGAGAAACCACCAAGCAGAAATGAAGAATGACATAGCAGAAATAAAGAACATAATGGAAGAAATAACCGGCATAGTCAAGGGCAGGAGATCAGATCAGTGAATAAGAAGAAAAAAGTACAAAAAATTAGCCAATCAGAGATTCAAAAAGAAAAAAAAAAAAAAAGCAATTAAACAGAAATACAGATTAAGAACACTGTGGGACAACATGCAACATACAACATTGGCATCACAGGTGTTCCAGAAAAATAAAATGAGCAAGTTTTAGAGAATATATTTGAAGAAATAGTGACAGAACGCCACCCTAATGTGATGAAGGAGAAAGGCATACAAGTCCAAGAAGCAAAGAGCCCCAAGTAAGAAAAACCTAAAGAGGCTCACACCAAGACAAACAAAAACTAAAATGCCAAAAATGACAGACAAAGATGGGATCCTAAAGGCAGCAACAGATACGCAACAGGTTACTTGCAGAGGAACTCCCATAAGGTTTATCAGCTGACTTCACAACAGAAACACTACAGGCCAGAAGAGAATGGCATGAAATAATCAAGGTAATGAAAAACAAGGATCTGAATCCAAGACTACTCTATCCAACAAGACTATCATTTAAAGTAGAAGGTGAAATAAAGAGCTTCCCAGACTAAAAATAAAAAGGCTAATGGAATATTTTAGCACCAAACTAGCATTGCAAGAAATGCTAAAAGAACTGCAGTAATAAGCAAAAGAAGCAGAAAGAAAAACATAACCATAATAAACAAAAATGGCAATAAATAAGTACAGATCAATAGTAACCTTAAATGTAAATGGATTAAATGCTCCAATCAAAAGACACAGAATAGCAGAATGGATAAGAAAGCATGACTCATATATATGTTGTTTACAAGAGAACGACCTCACAACAAAAAATCACATAAGTTGAAAGTAAAGGGATAGAAAACATCTTTCTAAGCAAATGGAAAGAGAATAAAAGCTGGGGTAGCAATTCTCATATCTGATAAAAATAGAATTCCAAATGAAGGCAAAATCTAGAGACAAAGAAGGCTACTACATAATATTGAAAGAATCTCAGGAAGATATAAACTTGATAAACATGTATGCACCCGATATGAGAGCACCAAAATATATTTAAAAACTTCTGGAGGACTCTGAAGGAGAAATTGACAGCAATATAATCATAGCAGGGGACTTCACATACCACTGACATAACTGGATAGATATTCCAGGCAAAAAATTAGCAAGGAATCAGGGACTCTAAGTGATACAATAGGTCAAATGGATTAAATAAGTATCTACAGAGAATTATACTCCAAAACTGCAGAATTAACATTCTTCTCAAGTGTACATGGGACATTCTCAAAGACAGGCCACATGTTAAGACACAAACTACTTTTCTACAAGTTCAAGAAGATTGAAATCATATTGAGCAATTTCTCAGATCACAATGGCATGAAGCTAGAAACCAATTACAATAAAAAATGAAAAATATTCAAGCACATAGAGGCTAAATAGCATGTTATTAAACAATGAATGGAGTACCAAGGAGATCAAGGAAGAAATTAAAAACATCCTGAAAACCAATGAAAATGAACACATAACAACACAAAATCCAGAAAATGAGCAAGGGTTAGAGAATATATTCAAAGAAATAGTGACAGAAAACTTCCTTAATTTGGTGAAGAAAAAAGTCATTCAAGTTCAAAAACCACAGAGAGCCCCAAGTAAGAAGAACCCCAACAGGCCAACACCAAGACACATAGGAATTAAAATGCCAAAATTAAAGACAAAGAGAGAATCTGAAAAGCAGCAAGAGATAAGCAACAGGTTACGTACAAAAAAACAAACAAACAAAAAAACCACACACACAATAAGGCTTTCAGCTGACTTCTCACAAGAAACACAACAGGCCAGAAGGGAACGGCATGAAATAATTAAGGTCATAAAAAACAAGGATCTGAATCCAAGACTACTCGACCCAGCAAGGGTGTCATTCAAATTACAAGGTCAAATAAAGAGCTTCACAGACAAAAAAAGGCTGAGGGAATACACTAGCACCAAACCAGCACTGCAAGAAATGTTAAAAGGACTGCTGTAATTAGTAGAAAAAAGGAAGAAAAATACAACCAAACTAAAGAAAAATGGCAATAAATAAGTACATATCAATAATCATCTTAAATGTAAATGGACTGAATGCTCCAATAAAAAGACACAGAGTAGCTGATTGGATAAGAAAGCATGACTCATCTATATGTTGTTTACAAGAGACACACCTCACAACAGAAGACTCACATAGGTTGAAAGTGACGGGATGGAAAAAAATTTTCCAAGCAAATGGAAAGCAAGAAAAAAAGCTGTTGTAGCAATACTCATATCTGATAAAATAGATTTCAAAATGAAGACCATAACTAGAGACAAGGAAGGCCACTACATAATATTGAAAGGATCTATCAAACAGGAAAATATAACCTTGATAAACATATGTGCACCCAATAAAGGAGCACAAAAATATATTAAATATCTTCTGGAGGACTTCAAAGGAGAAATTGATAGCAATACAATCATAGCAGGGTACTTCAACACACCATTGACACCAATGGGTAGATCCTCTAGACAAAAAATTAGCAAAAAAAAAAAGAGACTCTAAATGAAGCACTAGACCAAATTGATTTAATAGATATCTACAAAGAATTACACACCAATACTACAGAATTCACATTCTCTCAAGTGCACATGGGACATTCTCAAAGATAGACCACATGATAGGACACAAACTAAATCTCTACAAGTTCAAGAAGACTAAAATCATATCAAACATCTTCTCAGATCACAATGGCATGAAACTAGAAATCAATTGCTACAAAAACACACAAAGACATTTGAACATATGGAGGCTAAATAGCATGTTATTAAACAATGAATGGGTTACCGAGGAGATCAAGGAAGAAATTAAAAACTTCCTGGAAACCAATGAAAATGAAATCACAACAACACAAAATCTATGGGATGCAGCAAAAGCAGTTCTGAGAGGGAAGTTCATAGCACAACAGGCCTACCTCAAGAAACAAGAAAAACTTCTACTTGACTGTCTAACCTCACAACTTAAAGAATTAGAAAGTAAACAAAATACCCTAGAGCAAGTAGAAGAAAGAAAATAGAAAAGATCAGAGCAGAAATAAATGACATAGAGACCGAAAAAACCAATTCAAAGGATCAATGAAACAAAGAGCTGGTTTTTCGAAAAGATAAACAAGATTGATGGACCCTTAGCTAGATTCACCCAGAAACAAAGAGAGAAAACACAAATGCACAAAATCAGAAATGAAAGAGGAGAAGTAACAACTGACACCAGAGAAATACAAAAGATCATTAACAGCTACTATGAACAATTATATGGCAACAAATTT